CCACCTCACCATGCATGAGAAGTTATATGTCAGTGTTCACATCAAAGATTTTTGTTGCATTTATTAATTCTGTCATTAGTCAACAAACCTAAAGAATACATTCACAACTACAAGCGACCATCAAATAAAAAAGAAAGATTTACATGCATACCCCTCAAATCTTTTGTATTTACATATCTAACATCTAAACTATAACTTGTACATATATGCCACTCTACATGTACATGAAATGATGACTTTTTCATGCAATTTTGTCTAAGCTGTCATACTTGTTATAGTTATGATATAGCCTTTGTTCGGGGCCGCGGTAGAGGTGTTGTGCCGCGCCGTACTTTTAGGTGTTTTGCAAGACTTTGTTTTACCTGCTTTCTCAGAAAGCTAGAGGGAGAAGTTAAGTTTTGTAACATGGCCTAACTACGTGTGGTGGCTACCAGAAAGCTAGGATAAGCCTTTTTGAAAATAAAATAAATTTGTAATAGTCTTTTGGTCGGTTGACCAGTCTGGTTGACTATTAGCAATCTTTGGTAAGAAGTCTTTTGGGTCTCCATTGGATGGTCGAAGATACATTGTAGAACTAACTCTTACATTGGATTGACTCCACTACGGAATAAGTTATTTCAGTGAGCTGGCTTTCTTACAGTTGATGGTCTAAACACTCGTCTATGGCTTATATTTGGATTGCTTAGTTGTTTTCTTGTTTGTTTTTTCTTGCTCGATCGGCTTTGGTCTAGTTGACTTGGTTTGTCCGGCTTGGTGGACCTCACGATCTTTTTGCAAGAGATCCATCTGCCTCTATCGTATTCTTCTCTTATGGACTGTTATATCTCTAATAAATCAATGTAGACACATTTTTGACGTAGATATAAGGTAAGAAGTCTTTTGGGTCTCCATTGGATGGTCGAAAATACTCTGTAGAACTGGCTCTTCCATTGGATCGGCTCCATTATGGAATAAGTTATTTCAGTGAGTTGGCTTTCTTGCAGTTGATGGTCCAAACACTCTCATCTCGATTCCGATCTAATGGCTTATACTTGGATTGCTTAGTCGTTTTCTTGTTTGTTTTTTCTTGCTCGATCGGCTTTGGTCTAGTTGACTTGGTTTGTCCGGCTTGGTGGACCTCACGATCTTTTTGCAAGAGATCCATCTGCCTCCATCGTATTCTTCTCTTACGGACTGTTATATCTCTAATAGATCAGTGTATACACCTTTTTGTTGTAGATATAAACAATATTTGAGTGTTATATGGTATGTATGTAAATGACCCTAAAATTAAATGATGTACGCCGTGAAAAAATTCATTCCTCGTCCCATTTGTAATTGAGGAGAAATTACTACGTATGTATAACATATACATATAGAGAAGGGTGGATGAAAAGATCACGTCATATGCATCATGACGGGGCCACTTCATCCATGCTTCCGTATGTTATAAATATCCGGCTTGGTGGACCTCACGATCTTTTTGCAAGAGATCCATCTGCCTCCATCGTATTCTTCTCTTACGGACTGTTATATCTCTAATAGATCAGTGTATACACCTTTTTGTTGTAGATATAAACAATATTTGAGTGTTATATGGTATGTATGTAAATGACCCTAAAATTAAATGATGTACGCCGTGAAAGAATTCATTCCTTGTCCCATTTGTAATTGAGGAGAAATTATTACGTATGTATAACACATATATATAGAGAAGGGTGGATGGAAAGATCACGTCATATGCATCATGACGTGGCCACTTCATCCCTGCTTCCGTATGTTATAAATGATAAATACGTAATAATTTCTCATAATTGCGGGGGGTCGTGCGTAATACCGCTAAAAAAATGGGGGTTGCATAGCTACATATGAAATACATTCAAAGTTTTTTTTATCATATTTATGTTAAAGCATTAACAAACACAACCCTTGATTCCTATGTATTTACATATGAAATACCTAAATTTTACTTTTTTACATTCGAACGGCTTAAATCCATCATATCACTTGAAAAATATCACTATTTTAGCATTCAAAAAATGAAATACAACTTTTCATGTATAGATAAGCCGACATATATGTAAAAATTGAAGTTTTGATGTTAGATATGTAAATACATCGGAGTTGAGAGGTATTTACGTAAATCATTTATATTAAGAATGCTTCGGTGGATGAGTGGCTTGACACTTAAAAAAACAAAATGCAAATGAATATATCCGTGATAGGGTTGGTGTAGCCCCACTGGCGGACATGATAAGAGAGAGTCGTCTTAGATGGTTTGGTCACATTAAACATCAAACATATGATGATCCGGTCAGGAGAGTGGATGTTTTATGTTCGACTTATGTTAAGAAAGACAAAGGTAGACCCAAAATGACTTGGACATATTGCATGAAAGATGATCTTAATCTATTAGAATTAAATGAAAATACGACGCCATGGACAAAAGGAATCATGTAACCGGCCCCACTTAGTGTCGTAAATGCTTCTTATTATATATAGAGGGTTGGAAATCAATATTGTATAATTTCTAATGACATTTTCTTGCTAAATAAGTAATAGAGAAAGGCAAGAAAGCTAAAATAAATAAATATAATTTT